TTAATGGTATTAATTTTAGTTTAGGTTTAGTTTTAGTTAACCATAATAACCCTGAAAACAACACAGATTTAATAAGGTAATCTTAAAAATTGCCATTTCAAGGGGAAAAAATGTAAATCAGTTCACACTAATGAAAAAAGTCCTTACTGAACAGTTAATGTCTGACCCTGATAAACACAAAAGTTCTTTTTTAATCTTTTAATCTGTGAAATTGCTGTAAATTCAGGAATATGCAGAATTTCCTTGTAGTTTTCTGGAGTTTCTGTCTCTCTCTCTCCGCTGAGAGTTGGTTTCTGCAGTGGATGCAGAATAAAAGATTTCAGGGCTTTAACAGACAGTCGGTGACCTCTGACCCCGGCCCGCTGCGGGGATGCGGTTCCCATTCAGCGCACAGTCACGGCCTCTTAATGCAGCTCACAGTCTCTCGATTCAGTGGAGGTGTGATCCGATGACATGTATTTTTAATGAGGAGCGAGGTCTTTGTTGGCCAGACACAATATCCCGGCGCTGGAGAATGAGAATGGGCCCCTGGCGGCCCCGCATGCAAAATCCCACTAGATGTTTTCCTTTTTAATCTGTCATTCTCTCGTTTCTCCACCTCTTTCTCTGAGTTAAACTTCTGTCGGTGGCTTTGGCAGTCAGATACAGAAGAAAAGTGCCCTAGGAAAGTTCTCTTTTAGTCTCTGTTAGAGCCTGTGATAATGTCGTCACGAAGCAGACCGCCCAGAGATCACAGAGTTACCGTTAAACACAATCATACAGCGCTTTGTGAAAGTTAGACTGGGTTAGGAGCTGTAAACATGGGTAGAAAGTATCTTCAGACTGACTAAAAACTATTCACATACAGGACATACTTAACATTTAATTGATCAAAAGTGACAGTAAAGACATTTATAATGTTACAAAAGATTTCTATTTCAAATAAATGCTGTTCTTTTAAACTTTCTATTCATCTGTGAATCCTGAAAAATAAATGTATCACGGTTTCCACAGAAATATTGTGCAGCACAAGTGTTTTCAACATTGATAATAATCAGAAATGTTTCTTATATATCAGCATATTAGAATGATTTCTGAAGATCATGTGACACTGAAGACTGGAGTAATGATGCTGAAAATACAGCTGCGCATCACAGAAATAAATTACAGTTTAACAGATATTCACATAGAAAACAGCTGTTTTAAATTGTAATAATATTTCAGATTTTTTGCTGTATTTATAAACAAATAAATGCAGCCAGTTTGATTTCAAACATTATTTTTTGCTATTCAGAATCCCTGATTGAACTGAACTGAGTGATGTTAAATATGTTGTATTTGATGGCGTTTATGATCTGTGTGTGTGCTTCCGTTGCGATGAGGTGGAGCTGTTGACCCTGATCTCCCAAAAATAATGATGTCTGGGTCTAAACACACACACACACTCCCTCTCTCTCCCTCTCACACACACACACACACACACACACTCTCTCTCTCTCTCGCTCTCACACACACACACACACACACTCTCTCTCTCTCTCGCTCTCACACACACACACACACACACTCTCTCTCTCTCTCGCTCTCACACACACACACACACACACTCTCTCTCTCTCTCGCTCTCACACACACACACACACACACTCTCTCTCTCTCTCGCTCTCACACACACACACACACACACTCTCTCTCTCTCTCGCTCTCACACACACACACACACACACTCTCTCTCTCTCTCGCTCTCACACACACACACACACACACTCTCTCTCTCTCTCGCTCTCACACACACACACACACACACTCTCTCTCTCTCTCGCTCTCACACACACACACACACACACTCTCTCTCTCTCTCGCTCTCACACACACACACACACACACTCTCTCTCTCTCTCGCTCTCACACACACACACACACACACTCTCTCTCTCTCTCGCTCTCACACACACACACACACACACTCTCTCTCTCTCTCGCTCTCACACACACACACACACACACTCTCTCTCTCTCTCGCTCTCACACACACACACACACACACTCTCTCTCTCTCTCGCTCTCACACACACACACACACACACTCTCTCTCTCTCTCGCTCTCACACACACACACACACACACTCTCTCTCTCTCTCGCTCTCACACACACACACACACACACTCTCTCTCTCTCTCGCTCTCACACACACACACACACACACTCTCTCTCTCTCTCGCTCTCACACACACACACACACACACTCTCTCTCTCTCTCGCTCTCACACACACACACACACACACTCTCTCTCTCTCTCGCTCTCACACACACACACACACACACTCTCTCTCTCTCTCGCTCTCACACACACACACACACACACTCTCTCTCTCTCTCGCTCTCACACACACACACACACACACTCTCTCTCTCTCTCGCTCTCACACACACACACACACACACTCTCTCTCTCTCTCGCTCTCACACACACACACACACACACTCTCTCTCTCTCTCGCTCTCACACACACACACACACACACTCTCTCTCTCTCTCGCTCTCACACACACACACACACACACTCTCTCTCTCTCTCGCTCTCACACACACACACACACACACTCTCTCTCTCTCTCGCTCTCACACACACACACACACACACTCTCTCTCTCTCTCGCTCTCACACACACACACACACACACTCTCTCTCTCTCTCGCTCTCACACACACACACACACACACTCTCTCTCTCTCTCGCTCTCACACACACACACACACACACTCTCTCTCTCTCTCGCTCTCACACACACACACACACACACTCTCTCTCTCTCTCGCTCTCACACACACACACACACACACTCTCTCTCTCTCTCGCTCTCACACACACACACACACACACTCTCTCTCTCTCTCGCTCTCACACACACACACACACACACTCTCTCTCTCTCTCGCTCTCACACACACACACACACACACTCTCTCTCTCTCTCGCTCTCACACACACACACACACACACTCTCTCTCTCTCTCGCTCTCACACACACACACACACACACTCTCTCTCTCTCTCGCTCTCACACACACACACACACACACTCTCTCTCTCTCTCGCTCTCACACACACACACACACACACTCTCTCTCTCTCTCGCTCTCACACACACACACACACACACTCTCTCTCTCTCTCGCTCTCACACACACACACACACACACTCTCTCTCTCTCTCGCTCTCACACACACACACACACACACTCTCTCTCTCTCTCGCTCTCACACACACACACACACACACTCTCTCTCTCTCTCGCTCTCACACACACACACACACACACTCTCTCTCTCTCTCGCTCTCACACACACACACACACACACTCTCTCTCTCTCTCGCTCTCACACACACACACACACACACTCTCTCTCTCTCTCGCTCTCACACACACACACACACACACTCTCTCTCTCTCTCGCTCTCACACACACACACACACACACTCTCTCTCTCTCTCGCTCTCACACACACACACACACACACTCTCTCTCTCTCTCGCTCTCACACACACACACACACACACTCTCTCTCTCTCTCGCTCTCACACACACACACACACACACTCTCTCTCTCTCTCGCTCTCACACACACACACACACACACTCTCTCTCTCTCTCGCTCTCACACACACACACACACACACTCTCTCTCTCTCTCGCTCTCACACACACACACACACACACTCTCTCTCTCTCTCGCTCTCACACACACACACACACACACTCTCTCTCTCTCTCGCTCTCACACACACACACACACACACTCTCTCTCTCTCTCGCTCTCACACACACACACACACACACTCTCTCTCTCTCTCGCTCTCACACACACACACACACACACTCTCTCTCTCTCTCGCTCTCACACACACACACACACACACTCTCTCTCTCTCTCGCTCTCACACACACACACACACACACTCTCTCTCTCTCTCGCTCTCACACACACACACACACACACTCTCTCTCTCTCTCGCTCTCACACACACACACACACACACTCTCTCTCTCTCTCGCTCTCACACACACACACACACACACTCTCTCTCTCTCTCGCTCTCACACACACACACACACACACACACACACACTCTCTGTCTGGGTTCCTAACGTGACCTCTGGTTCTGGGGCAAAGAAACCCCCTGAGACCCAAATAACACGACCCTCGGGACAATACAAGTAGACACTCACACCTCCAAACGTCTCGCTTTCATGAGCGTCACATGATCAAAACTACAAACATCAACTTATTACATTAAAGCGACAGTTCACCCATTTACTCGCTCTCAAGATGTCCCAAACATTTTAAATATTGTAGAAATAGCAAACAAATGCCTATATTCGCTTTTTACAGTGAAAGCAGTTTCATGAGATATTAAAGCTTTGTTTTAACATGGTAAATTAATACAATAAAAACTACGACTGTTGTTTTATCTGTCACTCACGAGTCACGACTGACCCACACACACATCTCAACTATACCATGTTGCTGAAAGAACAGCCTGATATGAATAAAAAGAAAAAGAATTCAAATGAACGAAACAATTACACTTGCAAGAAAGCACATAACTTGTACTCAAAATGAGTCTAAAATGTAAAATAATAAGCCTAATTGTAATTAGGGATAGTAAAGATACACTTCCAAAAGCACAAACATTACTGTATATTCACAGTTTGAGAAAATATTATTAGAAAATGTTAACAATACTTTTAGTTTTATTTATCTCATAATTATTTTGTTTTATTTTTGTAATGCGTTTTAATTTTGTAAAGTCATAATTCTGTTATAACGATACTGTTTTACTGCTAATTGCAATTTAAGACAAAAAATTGTCTTATTTTTAATGCATTGTATTAAAACCAGTTATGGTCAGTTTGACCTGCAAACATCACAATAATTATTAATTATAATAGTAGTATATGGAACCCACAACAACAATTAAAAAACAAAAACATGCAAAAAATACTGTCCCTGTTTTAAAAATGATATTTTGACCGCTGAACTAGAAAATGCCCCAATGCCCTCAGATGATGAAAGATATTTTGAGAAATAACATCATACTGTTTGGTAACTATATGAATATTTTATGATTTTAAAATTCAAAAAGTTTCATGGTATTGCTTAAAATCCAATGGTGTTTTAAGGGTAATTCTATGGTATTTTTTGTAAGAGTGTGAATAAAATGTAATGCATTTTTTCTGTCATTTAATCTGTTTGAATCATATAAATACTATTATACACACAGAATGATGGACTAATGTTTTCATGCTCTTTTCCGCAGTAAAGATGTGAAAGACAAACTCGGGTGGATCTGACCTGATCCTGTGTCGCCCTGAAGATTCACTGATGTCACTTCCTGTATCTGTACTGAACAGGAAGCTGGAATCGGCTGGAGGATGAACTCGGCGTTATAACCTCACCTGGAAACAAACAAACAAACACCATCGGAAACGAGAATTTTTTTTTTTTAAATCGGTCCAATCTCTGGTTTTTATGATCTTGTTCATTTTTTTTACTGACTTTCAGTGCAGAAAACTAAAACACTATGGATATTTGCTGATATCCAGCATCACCTGCAGAAGCACATTAAACCAGGTAAGTGAATCTAGTAATGCGCATGCCGTTATTTTGTTAAACACGCTTAGAGTTGCATTTCAACATATGCACATAACAGCTCTAC